GACCAATAGTCATTTTCCCATATCTCCAGCAAAATATTATTAATGATCGATATCACTATGGGGATATGTATATCCTCCACTTACTTTATTTGCCACGTAAGCAAAACCAAAAACAATCACATATATCTTCCATTTATTAGAGTAACCCACTTTTCAGGCAATAATAATTATAACAATTGCAAATGTAAGATTATTTCATTTACAATTCACTTATGTACAAAATAAAATTCTAGTCATAGAATTAAGTTAATGATCTTTTGTACAACAGATTATCGAAATTGAGAAAAACCAAAAACCGAAAAATAATAAAGAAAATCGAATGGCTATTCAAAAGAGGAATGAAATTGCAACCAATAACTGTCAAAGTATCGAACGAAAATAAGACATAAATTAAAATATACTCGAACAAAGAGATCACTTGAAGTAACAAGTAATACAATTTTATCGACTTGAAAGTTTATATATATCGACTAGTTCTTTGACAAGAGAGGAAAATGCAGGAAAACAAATCTACGAATATACTACAAATATTTCTACTAGTTGTGTAAACACACATAACAATCGAATTGTCGACAGGATAGAATAGACTATGACTAGTAAATACGTCGATCAAGTTCTTCTGAACCGTTGGTACAAGGCAGTTCATTTAGCCATTCCGTACGTTCTAAGTGTGAACTAGGTTTAGATGTGATGTCCAACTGATGCAAACACCGAATCGTCGTTACCACATCTAAACTGATTGACAACGTAGCATCTCTTAATCGTCGGCCAGCAATCCACATTGAAGAAACCAGGAAGCAAATGTTATACGTTAATATGACTAGGCCTAGCCCATAACTAGGCGAAACAGATGAATAGCCGAAAGCACGAGAAATAAACTGACGGAAAATCGATTGTTTTTTAGCTTGGATCGAGCGGGGTACCGTTAACTCATCTAGATTATTCGGAGAGGAAGAACTAAATGGATTAATTATATGGATAAAATTAAACCAGTTGAATGAATCGAAGTATGTGCCACTGACCAGTTTTGTCCACCAACTGATAGATTTTTTGCTCGATTTTGTACTCGGACAGTTGGACGTATTTTCAGCACAAACAAATCGGTTTTGTGAAGATTCGCAGACATGACTTGAACATTCTGAATATGTGGGTAACATGATAGCTTCTGTTTTAAGTGGACTAGGTAAGGTGAGTGTGGTTAATCCTAGCAGATTGGTTTGCAGAGGAAGTGCGGCACTTAACATTAGGAATAACAAGATGTTCGCCAACATGATATCCAAACTCGTTGCGTGATATCTCGGTCGAAGAGAACGAGCACATGGGAGTGAGTAAAAACCCCACAAACTTAATACAAGAAGAAACAGCACCAGACAGACCTAGAAAGGAAATAATCAATCAATTGAGAACGCGATAAACAGAATGTTGTAAAACTTGAGTATTATTTATTATATTTAACGATAGGTTTGAAAATATAAACTCTATAATAATTACACAATTTTAGCAAAGTAGCATTAGAGACAAAACCTACTATACCTAAAACTACTAGATATTTTGGTCAACAGGTGAAATTCCCTGATTGTTTACTACTTGTGTTTATTAAAGAGATTTTAAAACGTCATAATAAAACAAGTATTAAAAGTGAAAAAATACAATCCAGCATTATGTCTGTTGTAAACGCAAGTGTTGAAGGAAAATAACAAAAACTGTTGAATAATGTTCTAGGTGCCATGAGAACTTTTTCGTTTATTAATGATAGACGAAAACACAAAAATTCCTACCCTTTGATTGCATATACAGGAATTTCGCCGCGATTATTATGGGGGCGCAAGTCAGGAAACTCGTTTTAATAAACCTAATAGGTGGAACAAAGCCCATAGGAACTTAAACTTCAGTTGGAACCATTGAGCCACATGACGTGTACAAGTAGTGGATGGCGTAAAAACCTAAATACGCTTTCATATATTAAACGTCTTTATCAAACCAAATCCATCAGCACTGTGGTGTACTTTATACTTATACAGCAAAACGGTGAACACTAGTGCTTATGGAGCGAAATGAGCATAATTATTAATGGTCGGCTTGAACTGTATTATTAATACATAAAATCACATGCAGGGTAGATATCCGTAAAAGCCCGTATGTCAACTGACTTACTAATCAAGTAATAAAAATGACTGGAAGACGTTATTCATACCTACCAGTACCTTTAATCCTTGAATTCAGAATCCGGTCTAATTCATACTCCAAAATAGGGTTTCAGAATATCATTATGAACCATGCACAAGCACAGCTATTTATCGCTGGAATCGAAATATCAGAACAGGTACAATTTCTTTAATATTACAAACACAATTTGATGAAGATTGGTTGTATGTGAGAAGCTTGCGTGTATGATGCCCAATCAATACCATTCAAACAGCAATATATTAAAAAGCTTTGTAAGCTTAGCAGAATAGGACGTCTCAACTATTATGTATTAAGTGTAATGTGAGTGGTTTACGTAATTGCCATTTAAAATACCATATGATTACAGATAAGCAGACACGGTAAAAATGTTTGGAACCAGTTATATCTCACTTATTTACATACACAAGAGCATAAGCAAATGAAAAAATTACCTGGAAAGCAGCCCCAATATGTCCAAGTGACGAAACAGGTTTTAAGCCAAGTGTAAAACTGTAATCTGCAGAATTACCCGGAAGTGATGAATAATCTTTGCTTTCCGTTGTCACCAAATAACTACTGCTGTCTTTACTACCATAACTGCCAAAAACCATACTCCATAAGAGATCAATGATATTGAAGAATACAAACGATTCCAATAAGCGAAACAGAACAAAAAGCAAGATTAAACAGAAGAAATAAAAAAGTAAGTGTGTAGATTCGCGCATAAATCGCAAAAACGTACGTGCGTTTATACGTTGTTTAATCTGTAATATTTCTAAGTTCAACAAATCCAACTCATTTGTATACTTGATTAATAACTCTTCTTTTGACTTGACATCGGTATAATTCCGAAAACAGATTGATTTATGAACCGAAAAATTACCTTCCTCATTCATCATATTGCCAGCAGTATACAGAAGTTGGACACAATTAATATCATCCATGACGGTTAACGCTTCAAAATTTAATTGTTCAATACGATTATGCAATGTTTGCTTTGGTATTAAATTCGGTAAAGAATGTATACTGATTGTGATTAGGTTTAAGACGATAGACAGTAGACCAACTGGAGTACAAATAAATAATAATAACAGTCCTAATAAAGAGGCTGTCATTTGAATTAATTCTAAGGCTGACATAAATATCACCTGGATGAAAACGTCCTGAAGAAATCTTATCCAGCCAACAGACTTCACGTAATCCAGGAGAAGTGAAACTGGGTGATTTTCATAATAGTCAAGGTGATGAGTAGGACTGACAGAAAAATAAGTCTGATAATGGGATGTAAGAAATGAGTTGCTATCACTAGTAGGTAACACATCTGATAAAAAATAATAATTCAATGCTGATACAAAGCTGGTTAGCGACCATGACGTACCAAAACATAAAATGTAAAAGAATAAAACCATTGTGAAAGAATAAACCAAGCGTGGTGTCAAGGAATGTGATTTGTATAGAAATCCTTGAGAATTTAACAGAAAATAAGAAAATGGTATAGTTAAATAAGATATTTTACACCCGATATTAATAAGCAATATCAAGTCTTGTATTAACTCCCCATTTAACCATTGTACATAATAAGATTTAGGAAAAATAATTAGAATCTCATTGGTGATGATGGTGAACGGCAATAAGCTGTATGAAGTCAGGCCTATCGTCAGTGTAAATGTACATATACCCAAGACCAGTTGGTAAGCTAAACGTTCACCTCGATATGGCTTTAGCTCACATTCCGTTTTAGTTAGAAAATACTGCAGTGTGATATGAGCAATAAAGAAAAGGATGGTGAATAGCAAAAAGACAACAACTAGTCCACGAATTTCATCATAAAATTCTTTTGCTTCATGACTGATCAATACCAATTCATCTGTCTGGTCCATGTAATCATTAATATCTAAAACAGAAGAAATTTGAACATGTGATAGATGAGAGACAAAACAGATATAATCAACAAATTGTACTAGAAATCGATTGGGCATCTATTCATCTTTCACATCTGATTGTTCTGGTTTGCTAAGTAGATTCAAGTGATTTAAACACGGAATGTATTGTATGGGTTTCAAAGGAAAACGACGACAGAACATTGTTGTTTTAGCTAACCTATGTATTTTCTCACTTTGGACTACACAACATAAAAATGTTTCTCTTTAACTTGTTTAAATAGTAGGTGTCTTGAAATTTCCTTGTATATTTGAGTTTTTATCAAAGTTGTAATCTATTTTCCAAAACTAAATATCATTAAATGAAAAGCTATTCTTCCTTCAAAAACATTACATTTTTGGTAACCAGTCAGTTATAATCGACAGAGAGACTAACGCAATTACGCGTTAACTCGAGTCGCCATACCACTGAGCACGATAATACGGAATCAATATAACGAATACAAACCCAGCCAAAATAATTATGGCACCAATGACAGTGAGAGAGACTGAATACAGGATAGGGTTTAAGAAGACAAAATGGAGGTTTGTGTATGAAGAAATACTGGGGCTAGCTCTAGAAGATATGGTTTGATCGCATTTACGCAAGTAAAGGATTTCGAGTCAAATCACCAAACGTCTCCAACTAATAGTTGAGATAATCAAGAGGGCCCTAACGAGGTAGTCTGGACCAACCTACAGACCTTGATCCAGCAGTCGATAACTCCACAAAATGATGCTACACCTTAATTATTCCGCCCATACTTCTCTATCAACTTATTCTTATACTAGCCAAGATTTCATGTCAAGGCACCGAGTAGCTGGACATACGCAAACTCGTTTTTAGTTAAGTCATATACGAAGTACAAAGTTCAGCCCTTGTCCTCGAACGATAATCTACCCCAAAATGCCCTGGTACGGCCGAGAGTGGGGAGAGTCAGCTCTCCCTTTCGAAATGCATCACATAGCCAGGTGCATACAACCACTGTCAGGAAGTCCTACTCGCCGCCTTCTGGCGAAACTACTGTTTATGAAATTGAGAAGACGATATGAGAATGTCTGGCGTTTTAACCGGCTCAGTGGATATGGAGGATCCACCTAGGGGAGTTGGAAAACCCTGATTCAAAAACAATGGTGCCATGGGCTCCAGGATCCTAAGGGAACAAAAGGCTTATAAACCTGTTGTCGGTCATCGGCTACCACAGGACCGTATTTCCCGACGTTGCTCCACTGCCTTGTGGACTAGACCTTTAGTTCAAAGACTCCGGGTGTGACCCCTGAGAAAACCACCTGCTTCGGGTTGGGCACCCGGGCAGTATCCCAGCCCTCCCACATAGGGAATGATTTATGTGGCGCATATCTATTTGGTGCTTCTTTGTACTAATGTTTACGTTTGAATAAATAAAACATTTAAGTGAAGGGGCTAGAGATATTACTTGGTTGTTTAAACTGGAGTGGGGTTCTAATCTGCGACGTAGTGGTTGAAACCTGAATGCCTTAACTACTGATTCGTCGTTCTCACTTAGCACATGTCCCTACTATATTAGTCGATGAGAACTTACAGCCTTATTCGATTTAGCGGGATTGCTTAGTACCATGCATCTCAAACTTACATTTTTAAATCGGTACTTCCAGCATTAGCAAGAAATGTACAGAAGACGTCTATTAGAAACATACAGTCTAAGCATGCCTTTTACTTTTATAATTCCAATTTCGTATCCATAAAATAAAACATACTGCCATACAGTATTAGTTGCACCTTGATAAGCAGATAAAAATATCACCTACTCCGTAATCTATACAATTTTGAAAATTAACCGAAATCTGACTACACACCAACCCACTAGAGCTGATGAGTCTTCTAATCTAAGTGCAATGTTCAGTGAATTCAACCATTTCATCACCTACGATCACTCTATGCGATGGCACAGGCCAATCCCGAAGCAACATTCTGTATGTAAGACAGAAGAGGGTTCAAAAAATTTGCTTATGTTCCTACTCAAGATTTCAGGGGAGTCACATTTTGTCCGCGTACTTACCAAATAGAACTATTTTTTCTGTATTTCAAGCCTAAAGGTGAATTATGCAGTGAGAGAATAACCCCTAAAAAGTCAAAGACACTGTTGTCTCTCAAATTACGTCTATGATGAAGTTAAATAAAAATAGGGGTAGTGTACAACTGTGACGAACACCACTTGAAGTCCACAAACATAACAGCTTGCAAAAAGCTCCAAATGGGTTAAATGTTCGAGTAAACCACTTTCACTAAGTTTATGCACTTCTTTGAATTACATTTCAATGACAAACATTGCCGCATAGCACCTCGCCGATTTCGTTGGAACTAAATAGAACTTTTGGACTCAGCTGCTTGTGAATATGAAAGTCACTAGTCATGAATGACAACTACTTACACTCTCCATTAACGCACAATTTAACAGAACATCACACGTTTTGGACGCATTGCTCACTGAGTTTTTGAAGGCCACCAAAAGTGAGGTTCAACAGGTAGCGATATAAAATAATAGGTAGTTTTATTCTTTGCCAGTACCACATAAAACCGATATTTTGGTATTTACTCGGTCACGTAGTCGCTGTGCGGCAATTTTATCTAACTTATATGAAATAGGTTTTATTTCAGAAGCGATGAACTTGACTAATAGTTGATTATACTGTCACAACTATAGATAAGCAAATATCAGGTGCACGACAAAAAAATTCAGGAGAATTGTCAGCTAAATCAAGAATATCTAATTCGACAAATGTAGGATGTACATTTGATAGATCGAGTAATGAATGTATATACATATAGTATGGAAAATTCTCACGTGACGTTATTGTGTTTAGTTTAGGTATTGCTGAATCAACGCTCAGCCAAATGACTATTTCACGATTTTTAGAATACACAAGCGCCATTACAACAACCGATGACATTCAAAGGCCTCACTACATGTTCACTAAACTCTAATGAGTATGATGTGAACAACAGAAGAAACTACGTGTTGTAAAGATATTGTCAACCGACTTAGACACGAGGACTTGTTTTTAATCGGAAAATTTTGGATAAATAAATAAACATACCAAGTCATGTTATTTCAGAAAATAATCCAAAAATCAATTGTGATGGATCTTGTGATTTACCAAACAACAATTTACAAATATAGGAATGTCTACCAATATCAGACCTAGAAAAAGTGGTGAAACATAAACAGATCAGTTTTGTTTGAAAGAGAAATAAACCTAGAAAAAATAAATTTACCAAAAACATAATGTCCATAAATAGCTTATAACAAGCGTTTTAGATGACTGTTTATCGAAAATATCGCGTCACATTTCACAAGGTACTTAAATGTGTGGATCATCAGGGTGCACAAGTAGCATGATAGATGAGATCATGTTTCAACAGAACTAGTGTACTTTAATGTGGCAACAACTGATATCAGTAACACGAACTTAGCTTATAGTTTGATACAAGATTATACGACGCGTTGTGTGTATCACGTCATAATTTTGTTTATAAAACCGGAAACGTGAGAGTTCTTTGCATCTAGAAATGGACTATTAAAAGGTTAAGCACACCTTGATTGAAAAAAGGTAGAGAATATCAGTCCTCACGATCACAAGAACACTTCAAGATTGGTTATGATGGTAATGAAGTATAAAGTGAGGTGCCACTGCTTTTCATAAACTCAAACAAGAAGCCACGGGATCTTACTGCATAGCTTATGATGCACAATGAAACAGATGGAACACTTATTCTCATTCGTTATATTCGCTCTCATCAAGTGTCAGGTTAACCGGTCAATTAAGCGAAACAAAGCCGTCTCCTTATTAAAGTCCTTTTTAACAGAGCTGTTGATAGAAAGTGATACCCAACTGCTCTTCAAATGATCAAAGTCCAATTAATACTAGAAGGTGTAATTAACATATAAAATGGCTTTGACAATTCCAAAATAAAAACGATGAGTAGTACTAGCTGCACGTACTATCACCAAATGTAAACGGGCCAACATTTGAAAATAGAATTGTTGTTTTTTTCCAGCTCAAAGATTTGTAATACACTTTAGGTAGACGAAACTGATTATTTCATCAGTCGACAACGTCTACCATGATAATAATGAAGAATCTACTATTTAGTTTAGCTGAGGTATTGGATATGCTTTGAGGCCCGAGAATTTTTGGACTATCTATAAAGTAGTTCACTATCCTAAATTGTTTGATATGTACTGTGTAACTCGTCGGATGGTTAAGGATGCCATTGGAATAAACTCATCGATCAGATGCAAACCATTTTCCATTTAATCGTCTCAAATGTATCACTTGAGCAATCAATAATCTTCAAATTATAAAGTAATGCCTGGCTTACCTATACCACTATGAGAAACTCTAAAACCGAGGACTCAAAGATTGTTTAGAGCGCCACATCACCTTGATATGTAGTTAAACTTCACAGGTCAAACAATTGATTTCTAAAACTATAAGAGTATGTGATGAAACTTGAAAACATTTTGGCCTACAAAAGCATAAAGAGTCAGTGAAGCTATGAATTCCTTCCCATATGTCACATATTATCGTGTATTTTAGATATCTTTATGAATCAGTTGCGAACGAAATTCTTACCGTTCCATGTCACATAGCCTTTATCTCGGTTCATAAGTAGTTTACTGTTGTTATTATCCACTATCTAAGTAAACGGTTAGTCAACTGCAACGTGGCAATCTTGTATTGATCTATAGGTGCCACAAGTATTCGGAGTTTGACAGCATCTTAACCAATAACGCCTTCAATGATCGAAACACGACAAACCAGTGTTGCGACGTATAAAGAAGTATGTACTATATGGTATGGCAGTTTTAACGAAAACATCAGTTGGTCGTGGTTGAGTGAAAACAAGTTTAACTGAATACGTTAGATTTGTAAGTCTGCTCGTGTAAGAGTTTAGATTGTGGAGACATGACTGACAAGCTTATTTTGTAAATAGTTTTCAATGTTATTTCTATTTGTTTTGTCAATTTTTCACTGTATGTACATTTATCATTAAATGACTGTACGTGTTGTTTTAGTCAATGACCTTGAACACTTTTCCGCTGTAATTCGAAGATAGCGTGACATATTCTTACTGGCTAACAAATACATCACTACGCACTCATCCCTCGTTCTATTCCCATTTGTGATTGAATGAGCTGAATTCTAAATCAAATATTATCATTATTTATAGACTGTAATTGGAATACATCACTTTCCACGTTGGATTATATCACCAGAGAGTTCGCCAACCTGTTTGGAATTATCAAACATTTATAATTGTGGATTTACATTACCGGACCGAATCAGAACACGCAGCGTTTGATCAATTTAAGTAACGTCCCGAATTTTTATTGTATTTGTAACAATTAACTGTATATATATTAATATTACTATTGATCCTTAGTAACTTTGTTTATAATTTTTGCATTCATATTTGTCTGGTCCACCACAATTATTTGGTGAGCCTCGATTTTTCTTATAGACATTTACTATATATATATCTACATAATTTTTTTATTATTATTAATCGGCACGACACCATATTTTTGTTTTTGTCATTATGAACTCTCCGGGTAAACTTATTGATATTGATAGTTCTCCAACTAACCTTCTAAACTATCCACAACCAGACGATAATGTTTTAAACTCAATCAACGCTATCGCGGAACTAAGATTACCAACGTACGGTGTTAATAATCCCAGGATCTGGTTTGCTCAAGTAGAGGCACTATTTTTGGCGAGAGGTATACGTTCACAAGCGACTAAATATGCCCACGTCGTCGGTGCACTACCTATTGAAGTAGCAACGGAAGTTGGCGACCTTATTGACAACGTACCAGAAACTGACCCTTATGACAAGATAAAAGCTGCAGTAATCCAACGCACATCACTGTCAGACGAAAAACGTTTACAACAACTGCTTACCTCGTGTGAGCTAGGGGATAAGAGACCTTCACAGTTACTCCGACACATGCGACAGCTCGCCGGCCCTTACAAATTAGACGAGACGCTACTTAAACAGATGTGGTCACAAAGGTTACCTCATAGCGTCAGACAAATTCTCAGTGTATCAGGAGCCTCTGTCAGTCTTGATGATTTAGCAGACATGGCCGATAGGATGATAGAAATATATCCCGATAGTCGGGGAATTTACGCAGTACAACCCGCCAGTAGAGATGCCATGAACCCTATCCTTGACATGCAGCATCAAATGGCACACTTGACACGTCAGTTAGCATCACTGCAGGCTACTATCTCCACCATCCATTCTCGACGCCCCAGATCTAGGTCCAGAAGGAGATCATTATCCAGACATCGTCATAGGTCACCTAAACGGGTAGCTGGGATGTGTTGGTATCATTCGAATTATGGCGAGAAAGCACGTCGTTGCATGAAACCATGCAACTTCACGACAGGCAAGTCAGACCACCAGGGAAACGAAGTGGCCAGACAGTAGTAGCGGCAGCTGTTACTGGCCAACATGTCAGCCGCCTTTTCCACATCAGGGATCGTATTTCTGGCTCAGACTTTTTAGTCGATACGGGAGCAGAAATCAGCATCATCCCACTTTATCTCTCACGCAGACAACATGCGTTGAGCACAAAATTGTCCTTGGTAGCGGCTAACGAATCAGTTATCAAAACTTATGGAGAACAATCTCTTATATTAGATCTCGGGCTCCGTAGACGATTCACATGGGTATTCATAGTTGCTGAAGTCAAACGACCCATTCTCGGAGCCGATTTTCTTAGTGCGTACAACCTTTTAGTTGATATGACTAACAAGAGATTAGTCGACACAAACACACGTTTACAAGTAAATTGTACACTTTCCAACGACAACGAGATCCATGGTGTTCGTATAATGAAACCTGAGAACAATATCTTCAACGACATCCTAAAAGAATACCAGTGCATTATGAAATCAGATTACCAGAAGGAAGGTAACCCACAACTGGTACAACACCATATCACTACCACCGGACCACCTATTAGCGCCAGGGCGAGAAGATTACCACCAAGCAAGTTGCAAGTAGCGAAAAGAGAATTCGAACACATGATGCAACTTGGAATTATCAGACCATCCAACAGCCCCTGGACCTCGCCGTTACACATGGTACCTAAGAAGGACCAAGATTGGCGTCCGTGTGGTGACTATCGACGATTAAACAACCAAACCACCCCGGATAGGTATCCTATTCCACATATACATGACTTCGCGTTAAATTTACATGGTAAATGCATCTTCTCTAAACTCGACCTCGTGCGTGCATACCATCAAATTCCAATGGCACCGGAAGACATTGAGAAAACAGCCATAATAACACCTTTTGGTTTGTTTGAGTTTCTAAGGATGCCATTCGGATTGAAAAACGCTGCACAGACTTTCCAGCGATTCATGGATGATGTCACAAGAGGTTTAGACTTCGTATTTGCCTACATCGATGATGTTCTCATTGCAAGCTCATCTTTAGAAGAGCATATTCAACATGTCCAGACCCTTTTTGAACGTTTTAAAAAACATGGCGTCGTCATCAACCCTTCGAAATGCATATTTGCAGTTCCAGCCTTAGAGTTTTTAGGACATTACATTGACTCTCAAGGCATCAAACCACTCCCAGAGAAGGTTGAAGCGATTACCAATTATCCCGAACCAACCTCGGTGAAGTCATTACGACGTTTCCTTGGTATGTGTAATTTTTATCGCCGTTTCTTACCACATTGTGCTGAAGTATTACAGCCATTAACCGATCTGTTAAAAACCGACAAAAAAAGTACGAAGAAAGAGAAGACTCAGACATTCAACCTACCACCTGACGCCAAAACAGCATTCGAGAAAGCAAAGTTGATGATATCTAATGCTACTATGCTACAGCACCTAAACACCGATCCCAGAACAAACCTTATCCTTTGCACTGACGCCTCCCAAAAAGCAGTAGGAGCAGTATTACAACAATGCGTTAACGACAAGATTACTCCTATAGCTTTCTTTTCCAAACGATTATCACCAACTCAAGAGCGCTATAGCACCTTCGGACGCGAACTTCTGGCTATGTACTTAGCTGTAAAACACTTCAACTTCCTGCTTCAGGGACGTGATTTCACCATTATGACTGATCATAAACCACTTTGCTATTCTTTCAACATGTCCTACGACAGACATTCTCCACGGGAAGCCAGACAACTGGATTACATTTCTCAATTCACTACGGACATCCAGTTCATCAAAGGCTCCTCCAACATTGTCGCTGACGCTCTATCTAGAAAGGATATCAACATGTTGGTACACAACCACAATATCAGCCTTGAAGCTTTAGCTAAACTACAAGTGGACGATGCAGATTTGAAGACCTGCGAAGAGAAGTCTTACTTGAACCTTAAACCTGTACCCATTCCTTTCTCAGACGCAGCTATTATTTGCGACACTTCAACGGGTAACAATCGCCCCTTTGTGCCACAACCCTATCGACGGAAAATATTTCAACAGCTACATGGACTGTCGCATCCAGGCATCAGGGCTACCACGAAGCTTATCACAGAACGCTTTGTTTGGCCAAAAATCAATTCGGATGTTAAACGTTGGACACGTAACTGCCTCCAGTGCCAACGCAGCAAAATCCAAAAACACACTATCAGCCCGATCGGGGAATTCCCTATTCCCGACAAACGTTTTCAGCATATTCATTTGGACTTAGTTGGGCCACTGCCTCCATCAAACTCCTTCACCCATATTCTCACTGCAGTGGACCGGTTCACAAGATGGGCCATAGCATGCCCTATTGCGGATACTTCCGCAGAAACAGTAGCCAGTGTATTTCTTGACCGTTGGGTAGCAAATTACGGTGTACCCTCTATCGTCACTACCGATCGCGGTCCCCAATTTCAATCTGTCCTTTTCCAGGAGTTTACTAAACTTCTAGGGGTCAACCATATTAAAACCACAGCTTACCACCCAGCAGCTAATGGCATGGTTGAAAGATTCCATCGCCAATTAAAAAGCTCACTGATGGCGCAAGCTGACTCATCAAAGTGGAGCGATGCCTTACCGCTTGTACTCCTTGGTATTCGTTCAACTATTAAGGAAGACATTGGATGTACAGCCGCCGAGTTAGTCTATGGCACAACTCTAACGTTACCCGGCCAACTAGTCAACTATGAACCTACAACGCACGGGGATCCTACTCACTTCGCAAGCCGCCTATTACAAATGATGCAGAACATTAAAGCAATACCACCTCGAGAATACAATAACCGAGCCCACCTCGATAAACATTTAGAAACTTGCAAGTTTGTCTTTGTTCGAGTAGATGCTGTCAAAAAACCATTAAAACAACCATACGAAGGTCC